AATTTGCAGTTTTTCTCAAAACACGATTTTCTTGTTGGGTAAAAGTGATTTTATTGTTTTGGCGATAAAATACCTGTTTAAAGTTTTGACAAGAGAATTCGATTTTACAGTTATGGCAAAAAAACACAATTTGTGGTTTTGTCGAACATCCCGATTTTCCGGTTGCGGTGGAAAAATGTGATTTTACATTTTTTTACGGGAAAAAACAAATTTATAATTTTGGCAGAAAAATTGATTTTACGGATAACTTAATTTTCGGTTTTGAAAAAAAAATGTGATTTTCGTGGTTTTGATGAGAAAATCCAATTATGTGTTTTTGGCAGAAAAATCAGTTTTTTTTTTTTTTTTTGCAAATTTGGTAGGAAAACATGATTTTGCAGTTTTTGTAGAATCAGACTTAGGATTTTTTTTAAAGTGGTTTTTGCAAAAATAATTTTATGAGAAAACTAAATGTTATTATTTTGAGATGCAAATGTTGCATCCATTAAAAGATTCACAAAGTTTTAAAAATTTTCTTTACAAAATTAAAAAAATAAATTGAGATGAAAAAGTGATATTATCTTGATATTAACTAATGATATTTTATATACTTGCTCATATATGAACTTTCAATTAATAAACTCATATCCAAAAATGCTCGAAACATTTATATCAAATTAATTTAGTTGAATAGAAAAACATTGAAGACAGAAAAAGACTTTCATGTGAGAAATCAACAAAAATGTTACTACATACTGAAGATCATATTTCTTGAGTAGCTTTGTTTTATAGTTTTAAATAAACTACATAAACAAATTATAATATTATATGTTTAGACATATATTGGAATACTATGTGTGCTTAAATGGGGTTTTATTCGATCTGAAATTTGAAGTGATTTGATTATTAATGAGTTTTAGATGATGTTATGTAAATTTGAAAATTTGGTGTATTTTTTTGTTAAACCATTCTAGAATCTTATCTAAAACCATGAAATTTGAATTTTTTATTTATTTTATAACTAAGAAACTCTTATCAAACACTTGAAGCATTCTAGAAACACTTGGAGCACTCTAGAATCTACAACATAAATTTTGTTTAATAACAATGAAATTCATAATACTTTATGAAATGATAAGTTCAATAACACTGGATTTTAAATCGTATTTTAAAATTCACTTTTGAATAAAAGTGCATTTATCATTCGAAAACTCAGACTTGGGATTTTTTTAAAAGTGGTTTTTGCAAAAATCATTTTATTAATTTTATGAGAAAACTAAATGTTATTATTATTTTTTTAATATAAACTAGTTATTTTAATATTTATTATGAAGGGTATTTGAGTCTTTAGATTTTGAGATGCAAATGTTGCATCCATTAAATGATTCACAAAGTTTTAAAAAATTTCTTTACAAAATTAAAAAGTAAATTGAGATGAAAAAGTGATATTATTTTGATATTAACTATGATATTTTTTATACTTGCTCATATATGAACTTTCAATTAATAAACTCATATCCGAAAATGCTTGAAAAATTTATATCAAATTAGTTTAGTTGAATATAAAAACATTGAAGACAGAAAAAGACTTTCATGTGAGAAATCAACAAAAATGTTACTACATACTGAAGATCATATTTCTTGAGTAGCTTTGTTTTATATTTTTAAATAAACTACATAAACAAATTATAATATTGTATGTTTAGACATCTATTGGAATATTATGTGTGCTTAAATGGGGTTTTATTCGATCTGAAATTTGAAGTGATCTGATTACTAATGAGTTTTAGATGATTTTACGTAAATTTGAAAATTTGGTGTATTTTTTTTTATTAAACCATTCTAGAATCTTATCTAAAACCATGAAATTTGAATTTATTTATTTATTTTATAACTAAGAAACTCTTATCAAACACTTGAAGCATTCTAGAAACACTTGGAGCACTCTAGAATCTACAACATAAATTTTGTTTAATAACAATGAAATTCATAATACTTTATGAAATGACAAGTTCAATAACACTGGATTTTAAATCGTATTTTAAAATTCACTTTTGAATAAAAGTGCATTTATCATTCGAATACAGATCAATTTAACCTTCTAACTATCCTCCCTAGTAATAATGATGCTCTAAATGTCTTGATTTTAGTGATTATCTTCCCTCTACTAATTGTAGTCAACTATATCCTTGATTTTTTTTTGTTTGGTTAATTATGTTATTACAAATGATGAGAAACATTACATAGACGATATTACAAATTCACTTTTTTCGGGAATTGAAACCTACAAACTGCATAGTCTGGGGTTTGAACCTCAAATCTGGTGTAGAAGACTTTAAACTTTTGACCACTAGACCAGTGCTGCTTCCACAATTTATCTCCTTGATTTAGTTTAAGAAATAATCATGATCATAGGTAGTATATTTCACAGGAAGCCCTAGCATCTTCATTCAACTTTTTCAGATCTTCCACCTTTTTCGGTGGTTTGATTTTTTCCGCCACTGAGGGAGGATCTTCGTCTTTCTTCCTCCTTTTCTTAAAGTGTTTATCTATGTTCTATTAAAGATGAGATTTTGTCAGGTAGAGTCAGTGGTGGTCTTGTTGGTATGGATTTATGATGGTCTGATCATTCCTCACGCGATACGTATGGCGTCGTATTGCTCTTCAACCTTACTTTCGTTTTTATGGAGGCTTTGGGTGGTGTTTACTATGTGGAAGTTTGGCATCGTCTAGAGCGTTGTAGCAGGTTGTTGGTGCTCTTCCAGTTTCACGATTCTGGTGTTACAAGACCTCTCTCCATATCTGATCTATGTGTTTGAGGTTATGTTTGCGCCCTTGCCTCGGTTTCACCGGCCTGGGTCTGTATGTGCTTTATTTTTATGTTTTATCAAGAGGTTCTTGATTGATTAAGCTAGTTGTGGTTATGCTTCATGGTGCTTTTGGAAGTTTCTTGTGGTGGTGTCGGTTTGTTTTGGATAAGACTTTCTTTTATGTTTCCCACTGGGCAAGTGTTTTGGTTTCTTCAACTTCGGATTTCAATACGGGAAAGAGAAAACTATCTTCACTGAGTTAAGACATGTTTCTGGCGACAGAGTTCATTCACGTTCAAGCTGATCTCTGCTCAAGCTGCTAGTGTAGATAAAAGCATGAAATCCAGCTGTGAAATAAAAATGAACTTTGGACAGTGCAGTCTCCTTTGTATCTCAAGAAATCTTTGTTTGAGATTGTTTGAATGCTTGGTCGCTGGAGTATGCGCAAGCAAGTAGGAATGCAATAGCTTTAAAAATTGCAGAGTGCTACCAATGACCAAAGGCATCAATCGTACATCGCCAACAATGGTCCTTACTGGCTCCTCTCTCTAATCTCTGCAGAAGTTGTATCATTGTATACATGATTTGGAAAATGTACACCACCGGATTCCATCTATTGGGGTGTGATTGGTTTGTCTTCGTGTACTATTGCTTGGCTCAATAGCCAATATATACTGGATATTTTCTTTTCATGTCTATTGGTGTGTTTTAAATTTTTGTAACAACATTATGCAATTTATTCTTTGGTGGCTTTATAACAATATTGATCAGTAAAAACAATTTAGTCTGACAATTAGTTTGCATACCTAGGTAGTCTAGTCATCTAGCTTAATTTAGGATCAACAATTTTGAATACACCCTCTTGTATTTGGAAACATTGACCTTAAAGATTTTTTTCTATTAATGATATTTTAGATTTAAAATAGTGCATCTTAAAAATTAATAAAAACTGAAATTATTAGTTAAAAGTATACTTTCTCTTAATATTTGTGAAAAAATCTATTAAAACTAATTGGTCTTTATCTGAAAGGTCTGACTAATTGAAACGCAGTGGTTGCGGTTGTGAGAGTTAACGGATGTGGGTGGTTGCGGTTATGATTTGTACGACTGACTTGTACATCGGTTAGAATTTGGTGTGTTTATGAAATATCTATGACTAGTTGATTATGAGATACTGCAGCGGTTTAATAATAAATTACAAATATTAACATATTATAACTTTATAAACATATCAAAACATATTATTAGGATAAAATAAAATAATTATTAATATAATATAATTAATAATATTATTATTTTTCTTTAATTTTTAATTTAGATGAAAATTAAAATTTCAATAAAATTTGTTTTTGTGATATATATTAGAACTTTAAAAATAATATTTGTTCAGTTATATATTTATATATCTTTATATATGTATATATATTAATGTGTTGTTCAATATAAAATATAATAATGTTTAAAAATATAGTGGAAATTCTTGGCTTAAAGTTTTTATAATACAAATTAAGAAAATTTTAGTGAATTTAAATTAAAATATAGAATGTATATATAGTATTCTTTCTAATATTTCAATTTTTAATTTAAGTTTTAAAATATTTTTAAATAAATTTTTTTATTTTTTTATCCACCCGCAACCGCAAACGCTAACTAGAACCAGTTTTTTATTTTAAAAGGTCTGGAGCAGTTTGAAATGATTTGTAGCAGTTTTTGTGATTGTTGCAAAACCCAACAACCGTTACCAACTGCAAAACTCCATTTAGAGGTAGTAACAGGAAAACCAATGATGCCCTAAGTATTCTTTTTGGTCATGCTTTTTTGGTCAAACATCTGGATTGGTATATGATACTGGTCTCCTGTTTTAGATATGCCTATTTTGGTATTTATGGTCAAGATAAACATGTTTGTTTTCTTCTCTGTTTACTATTTTATGTTTTCTATAAATGACTTTGTGCTAAGAAGAATTTGAAAATATCTAAAACAAATTAAAAACAAGTAAAATAAAATGAAGTTCTCTCTGAAACCTTCAACTTCGAAGGTGATTAGTTAATCATTTTCTCTTGATTTATTCAAGGCTATTTTAAACAATCTTAACTTCTTTTGTAGCGAGATCAATTTGAGTAGAGAATCTGACGAGATTTTTTTCTTTTCCAACAGATGATTCGGACAAGGATTTTAATAGTTGTAGTATTGGCAATAAGTAGTTTTCAGATGATGGAATCATCTCCAGATTTAGCCAACAAGGTGAAGGCAAAGATTCAATATAATGCGATTAATTGTAGAAAACATAGTGCAGTTATAACCGAATTTGGAGCTGTGGGTGATGGAAAAACATCAAACACAAAAGCGTTTAATGAAGCCATTACCAAGCTTGCTCCTAAGGCGGCCGACGGTGGAGTGCAGCTCATTGTACCTCCGGGAAAATGGCTTACCGGAAGTTTCAACCTGACCAGCCATTTTACTTTGTTCATCCACAAAGATGCAACTATTCTTGCTTCTCAGGTATGAATATGATTTCCATCCTAGAAAAATATTCATTAATTTGATAATTCTTTTATCTAAGAAATAATCCATTTACAAGATTGTTATTTTCTCCTTAGGATGAATCTGAATATCCAGTGGTTGCACCATTACCATCATATGGACAAGGAAGAGATGCAGCAGGACCAACATTTGCTAGTTTAATCTCTGGCACAAACCTAACTGATGTTGTTATCACCGGTAAGGATATATAATACAACAAAAATAAAATTGTCCGAAGAATCATTGTTTAACATCTTGAATAATTTTGTTGTTTAATATTGTTTGCTAAGGTAACAACGGGACAATCAACGGACAAGGGAAATATTGGTGGGTGAAGTATCGAAGTGGTGGATTTAAGAATATCACGAGACCTTACACACTAGAAATCAAGTTCTCTAAAGACATTCAGATCTCGAACATCACGATCATCGATTCGCCTGCATGGAATATACATCCAGTGTACTGCAGTAACGTCATCGTTAAAAGCGTTACCATTCTGGCTCCTATCGATTCTCCTAATACTGATGGAATCAACCCTGGTACGTACCCATATCCCACGTTATATAGCAAGACCAAAGATTCATCAATAGTTATGATTATTTGTCTTCACATGTTTATAATATTCTAATCGTTATAGCATAAAAACGCAAATGCAAATATGGACTACTGGTATATAAAGCATTGTTTTCACATTCTTTGTTTTATCAGATTCATGCACCAACACATTGATCGAAGACTGTTACGTTGTCTCCGGAGATGATTGCATCGCCGTCAAGAGCGGTTGGGATCAGTTCGGTATCAAAGTCGGAATGCCAACTCAGCAACTCTCGATCCGAAGGCTCACATGCATCTCTCCCGATAGTGCTGGAATAGCACTCGGGAGCGAGATGTCCGGTGGAATCAAAGACGTTAGGATGGAAGACATAGTGTTACTTCAGACACAATCCGCTATCCGAATCAAAACAGCTGTTGGTCGTGGAGGTTACGTGAAAGATATCTTTGCCCGAAGGTTTATAATGAAGACAATGAAATACGTTTTCTGGATGAGTGGTGCTTATAACCAACACCCTGCTTCGGGATATGACCCCAAGGCTATGCCCGAGATTACGAATATTAATTACCGTGACATGATCGCTGAGAACGTTACGCAGCCCGCTAGGCTCGATGGGTTCACGAACGATCCTTTCACAAAGATATGTATGTCGAATATTAAAATTGCTTTGGCTGCTGAGCCCAAAAAGTTGCTGTGGAACTGTACGGCCATATCCGGAGTTTCGAGCAAGGTGACGCCGAAACCGTGTAGCTTGTTGCCGGAGAAAGCTCCTGTGAACTGTGCTTTTCCGGTTGATAAAATTCCTGTTGAATCTGTTGTACTGAACAAATGCTCGGCTTAGACATTGTTACAAAGATTATATTAATTCATTATCAAATAATACGTATGTGTTTTATCAACCAAGAAATAGCCCAGCTGTTATTATATCATATAAAGCTGACGGGTTCATTCAATGGTTTTACTATACTATATGAAGTTATTAATTTAGGTTTGTGGAATTATTAAGTTCCGTAATTAATTTATACATGATTATAAACATTTGAGAATATGTTCATCGTCTATAGACAGATTCTCCTCTGTCACCGACTCACTGGTCTTAGTTTGTCAGGATCGAATTATTATGTGAGGATATGAAAGGTGATATATATAGGTTATGTTCTCCATTTAGGTGATGTCACATATAATTTTAATCACTCTAGATTTTCTACCAAATATCTTCAAGTAGACAGTTTATATTATTTTGATATATGCATCTCTTATATCAGAAACTAGGTGAAAATTCTCTTATGAATATTTATTAATTTATATTTTATTGACTTAAACCCAATATAAAAGTTATTATTTATGTTTACAAAAAGTTTACATCAAACATCAAATAATTATAAATAACAACAGTTAAACATCATAAATATTTTAATAATTTTATTTATACAAATTTTTTAATATTTCTACAATTTTGTTTTGTTTTATTTAATTAAAATTTTGCATATCTTAATTTTAAATTTTATAACAGAAGCATATATTTTCAAGATAAGAACATAATACTTAAATATTATCTTATTTCTAAAATCTATTATTATTAATTTAAATTTATTTTAGTTATATATTAAATACAACTTTTTATATCTTAATGTTAAATTTTCTAAAAGAAAAATACATTTTCAAGACAACAACATAATACATAAGAAGTATCTTATTTTCTAAAAATCTCATATTATTCATATAAATTCGTTTTAATTATATAAGAAATTATATATAAAATTATAGAAATTATGATATTTAATCAAAAAGTATCTAAAATCATGAAACATTTGAAAAATCAGCAAACATCAAGCTCACTTCTTAAATAATATTATATATTTTTTACATGTCAATTTTAAAATTTATAATAGAAAAAATATTTTCAAAAAAATAACATAATACATAAGAATCATCTTATTTCCTAAAAAATATAATATTATTAATAGAAATTTATTTTAATTATAGAATAAATATAATTTTTATATCTTAATTTTAAATTATATAATAGAAAATATATTTGCAAGATAACAACACAATACCTATGAATTATCTTATTTTCTAAAATATCATATTATTAATATAAATTATTTTTAATTATATAATCAATAATAAAATAATTAGGAAATTATGATAAATGATCAAAAATACCTAAAATCATGAAGGATCTGACAAATCAGTAAATTCACTTTTCAAATAATTTTTCTTGATGTTTTATATATAATTATTAATAATATATAATTTTTTATATCTTATTTTTAAGTTTTATAACAGGAAATTATATTTTTCAGCATAACAACATAATACATAAGAATTAGTAATATAAATTCGTTTTAATTATATAATAAACATAATAACTTTTATATCTTAATTTCAAATTTAAGTTTTATATAAAATAGAAAATATATTTTCAAGATAACAGCATAACATACAAGAATTATTTTATTTTCTTAAAATATGATATATTAATATAAATTTGTTTTAACTATAAATGAAGTATAAATAAAATTATATATAAATATTAAAAATATTATAAATAAACAAAATTACCTAAAATTATAGAGCACATGACAACAAAGTAAATTTACTTCTCAAATAATAATATAGATTAATAGTTTTAATATAAGAGCAATCAGTAGTAGTGTAGTACTATGTTAATCAAAAGACGGATTCACTATGTCAGAAAACAAAGATATTGTAAAGAAGTTTATGTATGGTTTGTAGGTCCAAGACCATATAATATAAGGGTTTCTCTTCTAAATTACACAAAATATATGCTAATATCAATTTTAATGAGAAGATATACTCTAAGAGATATGACGAGATATATGTCAATATCCGAATACCCATCTCAATTTGGAGAATGTAGATTTTGAACTCCCAACTTGATAAGAAACGCTCCAAACTCTGTTTTTCCAAGTTCCTTCATTACTATATCAGCTAATTGCATCTTTGTCGAAACATGATTTGTTGTGATGAAACCATTCACTATCTCATCTCTTATAAAATGATAGTTGACTCCCACATATTTAGTCCTTCCATAAAATATGGAGCAGCCGCTATATAAATAACTAATATATTATAACAGTGAAACCAAATCAGTGCATCAAATCGAACACCAAGGGTAGATAGAAGGTTTCTTAACCAAATCAGTTCATGAACTATATCGGATATGGCTTTATACTCTGTTTCCGTAGACGATCTAGACACTATGTCTTCTTTGAATTTTTTCCTCGACATCGTTGAGTCTCCCAATTGAATAAGGACATTTTTTTCAAATAGACTTTTTTAAGTTTTATCACAAATATAGATAGCAAAAACTAAAATGACCAAAATAGTATTTTTTATTTTGAAAATGTTTAAGTTTTAAAAAATAAAAAAAAATTGAAATTCTATCCCTTAAATCCTACTCCTCAACGCTAAATAAAAAGAAGTAGGATTTGTTAAATGTATATTTACTTACTTTTATAAAACTTTTAAATCTATTTTACTCATTTTTATTTTAAAGTATATACTAGGTGTTTTGTCCGCACTTGCGGGCATTATCCTCTTATGAATATTTATTAGTTAATGTTTCATTAATTTAAAAATCAGCATAAAAAATTGTTTTTTATGTTTTCAACAAGTAAAAATCAAACATCAAATAATTATCAATGACAAAACTCAAACATCAGAAATATTTTAAAAAATATATTTCTATAACTTTTTTCTTGATTTATATTTATATTTAATTATAATATTTATATCTTAATTTTAAATATTATATTAGAAAAACATATTTTCAAGATAACAATATAATGCATAAGTTATTTATTTTCTAAAAATATAATATGAGAATTTTTTAACTATATAATAATTATATAAGATTATAAAAATTATGACATATAATTAAAATTACCTAAAATTATTGAGAACTTAATGAATCAGCAAATTCACATATTAAATAGTTTTTCATGAGTGATGATTTATATTTAATTAATAATATATAATTTTCTATTTTACTTTTAAATTGTATAATATAAAAATATATTTTCAGGATAACAACATAATACATAAGAATTACCATATTCTCTAAAAGTATAATATTATTAGTGTAAATTTATTTCAATTATAGAATAACTACAACTTTTTATATCATAATTTTAAATTTCTAATAGAAAATATATATTCAAGACAACAACTTAATACATAAGAAATATCTTATTTTCTAAGAATCTGATACTATTAATATAAAATTTGTTTCAAATATATAATAAATTATATAAATTGATAAATTATTAAAATAAACCTAAAATCATGGAAAATATGACAAATTAGCAAACATCAAATTCACTTCTTAAATAATATTATAGATATTTTACATGTTAATTATAAATTTTATAATTAGAAAAATAATTTTTCAAGATAACAACATAATACATAAGAATTAAATTATTTTCTAAAATATCATATTATTAATATAAATTAGTTTTAATTATATAATCTATAATAAAAATTATAGAAATTCTGATAAATGATCAAAATTAGTTAGGATCATGGAGACAAATCAACAAATTCACTTTTCAAATAATTTTTTTGATGATTTATATTTAATTAGGATTTTAATATAATTTTTATATCTTAATTTTAAGTTTTATAATAGGAAAATATGTTTTCAACATAACAACAGAATCCATAATGATTATCTTATTTGAGAAAATTTTTAAATTATTAATATAAATTCGTTTTAGTTATATTTAAATATTAAATTATTAATATAAATTTGTTTTAGATAAATATAATAGTGTTTATATCTTAATTTAAAATTGAAGTTTTATATATAAAAATATATTTCAAGATAACAACATAATTCACAAGAATTATCTTATTTACTAAAAATATGATATATTCATATAAATTCGTTTTATTTATAAATAAAATATATTAAATATTAAAAAATGATAAATAAACAAAATTACCTAAACTTATGGAGAACATGACAACTAAGCAAATTTACTTCTCAAATAATAGTATAGATTTGTGACAAAAACATTTTTAGATCTATTCTAAAAAATTTCTTATTGAATAAATCATGCTGTCAACAATCACCTAGTAATAGGACAAGCTACCCAATATGCGTCACACCATGCAGTGAGAGCAAGGGATTGGCCCGCCTTAAGTAATATACCTTGACCAAGATTCAGTTAAGATATCTCCCAACTCGCATAGTAGCATCCATATGATCTTTTGCTTTGGAGCTTTCATGAATTGAGAGAGTAATAGAGTATATGGATCGCATATCACAACTCCGGCCTTGTTACTCGTAAATACATCAGTCTCCTTACGAGCCATTTATATTTTTTCAGTTCTGAAATTTTCTCACCGGTCACAAGTGCGAGTTGATGATTTGATCCAATAGAAATGATGCAGGTTGCATCAGTAATAATGTCAAGAGTAAATTTCTTTTTGCACAAATAATATATATCTGACGAATGTCAAGCCACCTCTGTTCCCAAAACTATTTTAAAAAGTCCGAGATGTTTTATCTTAAAAGATGTACTCAATTGGTTTCAAAATGTCAAAAATACATGTGAAGTACTTCATGTGATTGATTATATCATCCACAAAGATCAGAACATTAATCAGAATCCCACCTTGATCATACACAGACAATGAGTAATCTGGAATTAACTGAATAAAACCAGCATCTGAGTGCTTGTTTAAGTACATAAAGAGTTATGTATTCTACACAATTTGCTCTTGTCCTCTATCCGAATTCTTGGTGGTATCTCCACGATTTCCATGTAAAAAAGCATTATGCACGTCTATCTAGTGTATATCCCA